TTATTAGCCTTATATAGACTTTTCCTTATTATCTCTAAATATAGAAGTAATTCCCTAAAGTAATTAGTTTTAATAACACCTATAACACTAATTACTTTAAACTTCTACTCTTTTAGGCCACTAGGTAGACCTACTTTAGATCTATTTATAACGCTATATTTAGCCTTATTAATAACAAAAGGCTAGAGGGCTTTTAGTTTCTTTTAGCTAGTATTTACTAACTTATAGACTAAAACTTAGTTTATTATCTTACTATTATAATTACAGACTATAATAAGTAGATAAAGGCTATACTAAATAAGTAGGTTTGTAGAAGTCTAGTAATAGCTTTATATCTACTATATTAACTTTTAATATTATACTTAGGGCTAAGTAGAAGTAGCTTAAGGACTATAGTTATAGTAGTAATAGTAGTATATTAAATAATAAGGCCTATTAGCTATAAATATAAGTAATAGCCTAGCTTAGTAATAAGGACTAGGCCTAGATTAATATACTAGTAAATAAGGCCCCCTCTTATATATATTATAAGGTGTTAATAATATAAAAGCTTATTATTTTTACTAAGACTAAGTAAGCCTTTAAGAAAGCCTAGGCTAAACTTTATAAAAAGTTTATTAATTAACGCCTTATCTTTTAGTACCTTTATATAATATACTTACCCTTAAGAGTATAGTAGGCTTACTACTTTATCTAAAAATACTAGAACTTTAGTGTTTATATTACCTTTAGTATAAAGTTAAGTAATAATAATATTAAAAGCTATCTCTTAAATAGTCTTAGTTACTTATATTAACTTATTACTATTATATAAGATATAATTAGTAACTAGAAGTTATACTTTAAGTAAGCTTATACTAAAGATAAAGTCCTTAGAAGCTAAAAGTATATAAGGACTTACCTTAAGCTTCTTAGTAAACTTTATATATTACTTTTTTTAAAGTGTTTAGTATTAATTAGAAAGTAATACTAGCTAGTAAAAAAAGTAATACTTTTTAGTAAGAGGCTATTTTTAGCCTCTATTAGAGAATATAATTTAAACTATATAGTTTTAACTAAGCTTAGTATTTTATACTACTATAAGATTTTTACTAAAATACTTAATTTAGTAACTTTTAGTAAATAAGAGGTATACCTCTAGTAGTGTCTTTAAGAGATATTTTCCTTTAATCTATACTACTAGATTCTTAACCTAAAGATTATAGTATCTCTTTATAGCAGGCTAAAGAATATAGTATAACTTATCTTATTATAACTAGCCTTACCTTAAGAGGGCTAGTTAGCTAGCTAAACCTATACCTAGAATTATAGCTAAGACACTAGTAGTAAGAAGTAAGGCTACCTACCTAGAAATAAGAATAGGTCTATATAAGAGGTAAGTTAATTAAGTTAAAGCTAGATTCTAACCTCCTCTTAGTAATAAATAAGAAGCTAGTTAAGTGTTCTTAGTAAAGAAAAGACTATAAGGACTTATATAAATAGATAGCTATTATAGTTTAGTATTTAGAGGATATAAAGTTAGTAAAAAATAGTTAGTAGTAATAATAAATCCTTATAACTATATTATAAAAAGGTAGCTAGATAGTAAGCGCTTTTAATTATATAGCCTTATTTAAGATTTATAAAAAAGAATAATAAGTAATATACCTTTATAAAACTTAAATAAGAAAAGAGGTGCTCTTTATAGCTATAGGAAACAGGCTCTATAGGAGGTAATCTTTATAGCTATAAAGAGGAGCCCCTTATAGAGCCTGTTTTCTATAGCTATATAGGCTAATTAGATAATAGTATATTAGAATAGTAGAAGTGTTAGTAAAATTATTTTTACTACCTTTATAGGGATATACTGATTTTCTAAGCTAATTAAGAAGATAGAAAACAACGCCCCTATAAGGGCGACGCCCCTATATTAATTTATAACGCCCCCCTATTAATTCCCTATTATTATTATTACTTTTAGTTAAACTAAATATACTATACCTTACTTAGCTATAATATAGTAAGTTATTAGTAAGGACTTTAACCTTCTTTAGTAGTATCTTATAAAAAGACTACTAGTTAGGAGTATTTTAATTACTAATTATTTTACTAGTTACTATATATAAATCTAGCTAAGTACTAAGTAAGCTACTTTATAATATAGTAATAAGGTTATTAAACTAAATTTATAGCTATTAATAGTTAGGTAAATTAACTTATACTAATTTATAATAAGCTATATTTTATTTCTTAAGCTATATAGTAAGATCTTTTTTAGTAGTTAAGGCCTTTTATTAGGCTTTTACTAACACTTTACTATACTTATTATAGGTATACTTTATATACTTTTTCTTAGTTATTCTTACTACTACACTAAGCTTATTTAGCTATTTAGCTAGTAAATAAGTAGATTTATAATATTTTTCTTAAAGATTTATAAATATAGTAGATTTAACTATACTAGCTATATCTTTAATATCTTTTTACTAAGTAGTATACTTATATACTTTTTTATAATAGTAGCTTATTTAGTTATTTAGGTATAAAAGATTATATATATTAAGATTATTTAGTGTTATTATATATTTAGATTTATATATAAGCCTATTAGGTATAGCTATAATAGCCTTACTTCTTACTATATATAACTATATAGTTACTTACTAAGATATCTTAGTAATTACTATAGCTATAGTAACTTCTTAGTAAGTAGTAAGCTTATTTTTAGTTAAGGTTTATAAATATTATATTATAAGTAGCTTTATTAGTTTCTTTAGATATATCTTAAGGATTAATTAGTTTACTACTATAACCTTTAGGTTAATATACTTCTAGAGATTATAATACTTTACTTTTACTTAAATAGTATTAAGCTATATAAACTAATTACTATATAATTATAAGATAGTTACCTTATTATTATTATTCTTATTAATTATTATAATAGTATTTAATTAGTAAGTAAGTATATTAGTTATTATAAATATATATATTAGATTATTAATTATTAAACTATAAGAATTATAATAGTTAATTAATTAATTTTATTATATACTTTATAACTATAGTAAAATCCTATAGGAATAAAGAAAAACCCCTATTTCTTAGTTAGGAAATCCCTAGCTAATCCTAGTAATATTATTAGTAAAGTTACCCCTAAAAGTAAGGCTAATCTACTGCCTATTCCTTAATAATTCGCTATAAGGCAGCCGTGCATTCGCCAGCTAATTTATATATAATTCTGCCACATTTGACATCTTTAGTAGGCTAGTATATAAGGTAAATGTTAGTCCCTAAACAGGAGTGCCTATTTTATTTCTATTACCTATATATATTATTTTAAACTCTTTATAAGATCCTGTGGTGCACTAAGATAAAACGAGGTGGATAATACTGATGATTAATGTCTTATACGGCTTTACGTAAGGAATCGCAATGTGCAGACCAGCACGTTAGACGTAATAAGGTGCACCTAAACCCATTTTGCTATCGGTCACAGGATAAAATCGTAGTGCACCACTATCGCCTTTGCGTTGGTCGTACGTAGGAAACGCTGGGAGCCTCTTCTTGGTTTAACTTTAGACGACATCTTGTGTACTAATGGGTCACCGTATGTATTAGTTGCCGCGGGCGGATGATTCCAACCACAATGGCTCATCATTTCCATCATCACAGCTGCCACCACCGCCACCACCGCTGCTGCTGACTCCGCTGCAACCACCATGACCCTTAAAAACACTCAAAGGGCACGCTTATCTCCGTTTCTTGGTAAACCAACACTCTAGTGCAGGCATATAAGACAAGACGTCCGGCTGCTCTATTCTCGATCATGATGAGACATTCTACTTGTATTAACCACCCGAGCTGCAGGTTAGGCTCTGCACGTTGGCAATCAATACTTCTGGTAAACTTGCGCCAGGCTGACGAAGCCATAGTCTCTCTCTCTCTTAACTGACTGCTTAGGGTGCCGAGATAGAAGGAGGTAAGGGCAACTAGGAACTAACAACATGGAGTTCAGCGTCTATGAGAGATCCCCGGATGCGGCGGCCGTCGGCTTCCCCGTCTTTAGGAGGCAGGCGTAGAGCTCTAGCTGCTTCTGGGAGGCAAAGGAGGAGGAGGATGAGATGCCTGAGACATGTACTACAGTCCGGAGTACGGTTGCATCCTGTAGTCAACATGATTTAAGTTGTACCTATAGAATATCTGTACACAATACCCGAGAGGTGGGCCGAGCAGGGATGAGGTGTCTTATGTGTCAGGAAGAAGAGCAGCTAAATTCTATTTTTTCAAACTAGTAATCCGTGGAAAAAGATATCCTGCTGTCTAAATGATTTTTGTGTTGTTGATAACCTCTATAAAGACTTTTGCGTCCGAGGTACCATTCACCTACTCCCCCCTCCCCCCCGCTTGGTCTGGGGCATTGTTTTCTTCCGTCTCCGAAATCAGCGACAAGATTTGGTCCGGGGTCGACAGATACCCTTCCTGGAGCTCTTCGAGTACTTTTCGTAATGCTTCCTGCTGCTTTTGTATTGCCTGTAGTTGTCCCAGTCTATCCTTCTGATGGTCCAAGATTGCCTTGATCCTATCGCGGCAGCTCTCAGCAGCCTCCTTCTCCTTGTCACAACCTTCGAACCGCCTGTTTGCGGTATCCGCCGGCGTCCCTTCCCAGCCCAGGGCGATCAACGAGTTTCTGGTGTTCCCGACTGCGTTGTTCGAAAGCGAGCGGAGATCCCCGTCGTTGGCTTGTAGCAGCGTGTCTTTGCTGACATTGTCTGCTGCTTTCTGAAACTCTTCAAACAAGCGTGATCGCACTAACTCGAGTCGCGCGTCCTCCTTCCTAGTTGCCGCATCTCGCGAGCGGCTTTGAGCTCGTTTCAGCTCGGCCGTCAAGTGGACAAGGCTGGCCTCTGTGGACTCAATCAGCTTGCTAATCTTGCTGCAAACCTCGTCGTCGACCATGAGGCTTCGTATGCATTCCTCATCTGTATCGCCTGATATCTCTGAACAGCGCCGTTTCGTACTAGACCTTGACTTTTCGTCCGGCCTGGCGTGTGACCCGCCCGTGACCTTGTCGAGAGACTTGCGCGTGAGGTCGATGCTCGCGTTGCTCGCGTCAGCGGTCTGTCGTTCAAAATCCCCCAAAAGCTTCTGGAACTGGCGCCTCTCTTGTTGCGGGTCGATGGAATGGGGCATCTCTGTTCCATGAATAAGATGAGTGAGAAAGACTGTCGCAAAGATGCCACAGCTATAACAATCCTCCTGCTGGGGGCATTCCTGGACGGCATCATGTCGTTAGAAGAGCCATCATTCAAAACACAAGCAGAAACAAAGGAGACGATGGCGGAATTTACCATTGCTTCAAACTCGAAGCTGGAACCAGGGGCTTCTTGTGATACTATCGATGAGAATGCCTTCCTCACTCGATCAGTCGCCGCAACCTGGCTGGCGGAATCGTAATGGCTGACTCGAATGCGCAGTCCGTCATTTTCATTTCTGTGCACGGTGACCTGTGCCAATGACCAATGATCTGTTGCGTGGTGGACGTATGTCAGGGTAGTTCTGAACTGCTGCAGACGGTGAAGACGGGAGCGAGTCTCGCCAGAAGTGGGTATCTCGATTCCGAGGGGGTCAATGATCTGTATCGACCGGCTTGTGAGAAGATGCTGCGCGTGCGACGAGATGGCCTTGACAAGGATCCACAGCGTGTCACCCTGCAGCATGGCGTCGGACGACGCCAGTTGGAGTGCGGCGTTGGACATGCCGTCTGCTGGCGCCCAGACTTGTGGCCGAGCATGTGCAGCAGCCGGAGAACCATGTGGGCTGTCGTCGCTACCCAAAACATGGACGTTGCTGGAGTAAATTGTGCCTCGTCTACGCACGCGCTGATCAACACTCGGTCCCAGGTCCAACACTTCGAAGGAGTCTGACGAGTCTGAGGAGAGGGGCAAGGACTCTGCAATCATCTTGCCGTCATCGTCGTCATTCGTGATTAGTACTGGAAACGGATCCTGCGTGTCATCGAAACTCTCTGACGCGACGACAGAGCTATTAGCGCCGAGGGCTAACTGAGGGGAAAGCTCCAAGCTGTTGGAATTGTCGGGGGGCGGCCGGGTTGGCGTCGTGCTTTGGGGATTGGCTTGTCCTGTTGCAGGGGTGTCTGGTTCGGGACCGCGTTCCTGCTAGGGAGACGATCTGCGCGACCGGGCCACCTCTAGTGTTTCTGGTGCTTCTGGTGTTTGCTCGGCCATGTCTCTTGTAGACCGGGCTACCTCTGGTGTTTCTGGTGCTTCCGGTTCGTGCTCGGCCGTGTCTCCCACGGAGCGTGCTGTCCGTCCTCGCTTGGGGATGGGATACTGCTCCTCATAGGCTTTGGAGGCCTCTGCCAGTATTTTAGCGATGATTTTGGGCGGGTTCCTCTTGTTTGCCGCGTCCCTCAGTACGCCACCGTCGGCCCACAGTGATGCGAGGGGGATCTGGTGGTGGAGGGCGCTTTGGGTGATTCGCCTGATGTACGATATGATGTTGTTCCCGGGCGTCTCACCTCGAGAGTTCTGGGCCTTGCAATATGAAGACGGGAGCCAGGCTTCCCGAGAACCCCAAGCCCTGTCCAAGAAGTCGACGTAATGTTGGTGGACTTTGTGTGTATTGGCGGATTTCATTAGGCTGTTGGAATGTTTCTTGACGCTCGCAGCCTCGTCAGTAGGTAGGCCTTTGGTCGCCTCTTTTCCGGCGTGCCTGATGAGAGGAACCTGTCTAGCAATAGCAACTCGTGCTTCAGGCTCTATCTGCGGGGGCACAGCGGTGATAAACTGTTGGGTATGGGCGGTGATGGCGGATAGTGTTCCGGTATCGCAGGTCGGCACGTGGGACATGAACGTTCGCATCTGTGACTGACGAGAGGAAACGTTAGTGAGAATCAAGCATGAACAGGACGAGGGGCAGTGTTTTGTGGTGCAGTGAGATGGGTTGCGATGCGAATCGAGTCGAAATGCCCACCTCAAGATACATATCGGTGTCGGTGTCGGGGTCGGCGTCTTGCACTTTCGGTACGCGGGGGCGGAGGCCATGCAGGCCAGTCGTTGGTGGCGTCATATCGGAAGAGACGGGCGAAAAGAGTCAGAGAGAAAGAAACTAACCAGAACTGATAGATAGAAGCGGCGTTTGCGAGCATAAGCCGTTGTGTGAAGAAAAGGAAAAAGTGACTTGTGGCGAGGTTGTAGAAAGGTTGCAGAAAGGTTGCACCGCTACCGCCTGCTGTGGCTGGTCGAAAGATATTCATTCTGTTCTCGCTACAGAAGACGGCAGCTGCGGGCGGCTATGCCCTTGGCCTCAGTTAACAGGTGCAGATGTAGGTAGGCAGGTGCAGGTGCAAGAAGGTACCGGGTCCTTATCCGTAGGTGTGGGAGATATCGCGTTGGACAGTCCTTGGTTGCTGCTGCGGAGAACCTGAAGAAGAACTACGGTGGCTGCACGCCGTCACCACCTTCAACTCTAGCCCCCCGTTCTGCTCAACTTGAGCATAAATACCCTCCCTGCCTGACAAGAGTAGCGCATGAGCCTTGTACATGAACCAACATGTGAACCTGTGCGGAAACTGCAGCATGTCTCTATGCTTTATACTCACATAGAACGGCAACCCTAACGACAGTATATGTCTGCTCAGGAAACATACTACATCCAATGTACGACCGAGTTGGCCTGTTGCATCAAGCATCGTGTAGCGGGTGCTAGGTCATGATGCGCCACGAGCACCAGGTTGAGCTCAGCGAAGTAGCGGAGGCCTTAGATTTCAGCTTTCTCCTAGGTCGGCCAAGAGGTTGAAGACGTTGGCGCGCTGGGCGTGGGTTAAACCTGATCGACGGTCGGGTCTCCCGGGACCCGGGCGACGGCAGGCGGATGGGTTTGTTAGCCATCTTAAGAAGCTGCTGTTTTGCTGAACTGCTGTACTACTACTGCTGCTGCTGTTTCTACTAAATGGGAAACGCGACGGGACGACAGGACGTGACACGAAGGCACGTGACGGTGAGCGTTCCGAGTTGTCGTAGTTGTGGAAGGATCGGTGGATAAAAACAATATGTATCCGTACCCTGGTTCCTATTACTGGTTGAGATCTGTTATGGGGAACTGCCAGAGATTTTTCCACTGCAGTTCTCCACCCCCTCTTCTTGATTGGTCCGGATTATCATCAGGCAACAGCTGCCACAGCTGCCACCATCACAACAGCTGCCACACTATCGCACGTGTGCCACGGCTGCCACGGCTGCCACCATCGTTGTTGTAGGCGATTCTTGGCTGGTGCTCATATAATCGATTTCTAACATAGGCTTACATCACTAGCCGCTAACCAAAAGTGCACCGATATTCTACCCTGCTACCCGCACTCTGGCTGGTCAGACTATATATCTTGTCTTTCCCTGATCCTCCTCTAATTACCTCGTCTAATTACCCTCTTTAATTGCTCCCCTGCGTCTCCCCTACGTCTCTCCCGCCACTTGATGTGCTTAGGTGTGGTTGGTGTTACGGCTGTAACACAGAAAATGTCTTGTAGTGCAATTAGACCTGCCCTGTAACAGCTGTTAGGCCTATAGGGAGGAGACAGCAAGTGGTTTATTAATAAAAAGTGATTTGCTAGAGAGACGTAAGGGAGAACCCCCCGTAGTAGGAGATAGAGGTATAGGTTAGGTAAGGCGTAAACGTTAAAAAAGTCATTAACTGCATTATTAGTGTATATATCCCCCTCTAGACGCTTGCAGGTTAAGGAGTTTACAGGTAAAGAAAGGACAAAGGTTATTTATTTTCCCTATAATATAAGAGATTAAGTTCTATATACTAGTGATGTTAATATATCTGCTACCTCCTAGACTCTAGTCTAAGCAAATATATTGTTTCTACACCTTAGAGATTCTAATGCCTCACCTTACCCTAGTCTAGGTCTATGTACTAAATCCTTCCTTATGTCCTAGGGATATTATTAACAATAATGCTTCCTTTTCTTATGTAAAGCAGAAGAGTGCGCTGATGATTTACAGGTCTTATATGTCTCCTATCTTTGCCTGGCATGTCGACTTGCTATGTCCCATTTAATATTAAAGCGTTAGATTAATAGGTGTTAGGGTGTTATAAAACCTGTTGTATATCGCCTTTTGTTTGTATTAAGTAAGTGGATGTAAGTAAGTGTTGATACTGCGCATCCACACTCATCTCCCTGAATCACGACTTATTAGAGACGGACGAACCTTGATGGCTGACAGCTGACGGTTGACAGATTACAGGGAAGATAACAGAGACAGTGAGTGACAGATGGCGGTGACGTTATGACAGAACCTTCCGCATTAATACGCGTCCAACGATCTTGCACCAGAAGAGACAAAGGAGAAGGAGCCGCTGCGTTAGGCAGCAGGCCTGCACTTGCCAAGCATCAGCAATACAAACCAGAATCTTAGTTCGTCAGGTACCTGGTACGTGCCAATTCCTAGGACCTGCACTGATTACAAAGTATACACCTACCTCCAGCCGTTACACCATCATTGTGCAGCGCAGTCCGTTATTAAATGTGCAGCCCTAGCGCCTGCCTGCCTGCTCGGACCCAGACGATTTGTGACCATGTTTCTTCAAGCTCACCGCTGGGAGGAAAGAAACAACAACAGTGGCACCCACCCACCCCGCTCGCCTGCAGTAGGCGGTCGATCCGGAGATCGGACGAACCATCCCCATCGGATCAATCGACCATCTCCACTCATACCCTTGCCTGCCTTACAAGGTTGTCCGTCTTGACTCCATCGTCAGCCTCTCATCGTCGCTCCCCCAACCTCCATCGCCAGACATTGCTCGTCCCACCCGTCACCATCACGTCAGTCACCTTGTTTCAATGCCCAATCATTCCATCATGCTTCTATTCCTTGTTTGCTTCTAGCCGTCCCCCTCCTCCATAGACCCACCCATCCATATCGTGACCATCCGTCTCAGTCCTTCCTCATCTACTCCTATGCCCCCTGCCTCCATGCATTCGTCCATCCAAAAAACAAGCAACAGACGCAAAGAAAACGACAGGAGATTTATGCCAACACTAGTGCAGCAAGACAACCAACAACGGTGTCGTCGTCATCGTCGTCATCATCATCCCATGGCCCCACTACCACCACCACCACAACCACGTCACCCCGCCGTAGTCGTAGACAACACACACAGACAGTGGACCTCAGAGGCCTTGATCGACGCAATCCTCCGTCACAACACGGCCACCCAAGAGCTCGTCAAACTCTGCCAAATACAGCCGTGCGCTTATCGCAAGTGTCACGGCTGACGCTAATAATAGTGAGACCGGATCCTGTCTTCCTCTGCCGGCAGAAGGGGAATTTGGCCCCCTCCGGCGCCTCGTTAAGCCCTAAGCCCATTAACGCAAGCTCGTAACACAAATACGCAACCTGTCTAGCTCGGTCCGCCCGATGACTGCCAGGGCGCCCCCCTTCCGCTACAATCAATCAAAGACATTACCGTTAAGGGAAAACAGCCCGCCTTTCTCTCAGTCTAGCCCAGCCCAGCCTAGCCTAGTTTATTAAGAAATCGTTATGTAAATATCCTTATCCCAGTCTGTTAATCTAACAAGCAACAGTCTCCTCCTTAAACACCTCTACGCCTATACAATAAGAAGCTAATGCTATTTAAACAGGAACGTTCCCGCAACTAACCACAACTATATCCCCTAAACCTACAAACATACACAGATTAATCACTATAAGCTAAGTAGTAACATCCTTCTGCTTATTTCAGCTACACCTAAAAGAACATCGCCTTAAAAGATAGGGAGGGGATCGTAAGGGCGCATAGAGACTTCATCTACATAAACACATACTTTCCTTAATTAAGCAATTCAGCCAGCGTAACAGGCTGTACTACAGATACTGCGTCCCAAACAGGTGGCTAGGTATGTCTGCGCTCCCCCACCCCCCCACCTCAGTGTAAAGCGTACGTATCTTCTGTAGAGCGTAAACGCCATTTACAGGCTGTATTTACGTATGTAGGGCGTAAGCGCCATTTACAGGGTGGGGCGTAAACACCATTTACAGGGTGGGGCGTAAACACCATTTACAGGGTGGGGCGTAAACGCCGTTTACAGGCTGCATTTACGTATTACATCAGCAAAGAGTACGTACATATCTTCTGTGGGGCGTAAAGGCGAAAATGGCATTTACAGGCTGCATTTATGTCTTACATAAGCCTGACAGCCAGCTGACCGGTCGTTGCTCCCGGCGCAGTCTTGTCACTGTTGACAAGCGCGTCGCTACAGCTATTTATGAGTTTCTGCTCTGCAAAGGATCCAATGGTACTGCACCACTGGATTTCTAGGTTCTAGGCTACACAATAACCCCAGCAGAGAAACAACAACAATAGAGAACATGTCTACATGTCGTGGGCGTCAACCTAGGTACCTTCATAATGTAGACGTCTGACTGCTCTAGTGACACAGTGACGAGTGAAGATGTGCGCCAGGAGGGGTAAAGAGTACATGTCGCAGTACCCTTTAGTAGCCAGCACACAATCTTAGGCCGGGGGAGTTTTAAATAAACATGAGGTTAGAGCTACAATAGGTCTATCAATAGCAGCCTTGGTCTTGAATCAATTAATTACTTTGCGTTATTACGTCCTTGAATAATGCTGCTTTACCCTAGAAATGCGCGTTTCTCCATAAATCTCAAACAGCTAGATAATTGCCCCTACTATGTATTGCGGAATTGAGGTACAACAGATCTATTTAACGTAACGGTGTATAGTAATAGGAATACTTCTCTTGTTTTCTGGGTCCGTGAGATGTAAGCGCGCAGTGTGCACAATGGAACCCAAGAAAGCACCCTACCGACCAACCAACCATCAAACGCCTCACAGGACCCAAAGAATGAATGTGCTATGCATGCACTAAGGCAGGACCAAGGTATCAAAGTGTAGGCAGTACGACATTCAATTCCGTGTCTGCTGCTGCCCTGTTCAGTACCTCCCCGGACGAGCGCCGTCATAGAAGGTCAGGCCTGCCCTCTAACACGCTTTAGGGCCACATAACTTGCCATCTCTTTCGCGTCCATGACGTGTTGTACATT